CTTTCCATTTCCTAACAAATGGGGCAATGTCATTCTTTCTGATGGAGGCATAGAATTCCATTGTGTATAGATACCACATTTTCTTGATCCATTCATCTACTGAGGGGCATCTGGGTTGGTTCCATATCTTAACTATAGTAAATAATGCTGCAATAAACATAGTTGTGCTGGTAGCTTTAGTATGGTCTTGTTTGTGATCATTTGGGTAAATACCCAAAAGTGGGATTGCTGGGTCATAGGGGAGCTCTATGTGGAGTCTTTTGAGGAACCTCCATACTGCTTTCCAAAGTGCTTGAACAAGTTTACACTCCCACAAACAATGTAGTAAGGTTCCCTTCTGTCCACATCCCCTCCAGCATCTGTTGTTATTAGAATTCTTGATTTTAGCCATTCTAACTGGAGTGAGGTGGTATCTCAATGTTGTTTTGATTTGCATTTCTTTTATAGCTAGAGAGGTTGAGCATTTCTTCATGTGTCTATTGGCCATCCTTCTTTCCTCTTCAGAGAAGTTTCTCTTTAAGTCTTTAGCCCACTTATTTATTGGGTAGCTGTTTCTTTGAAGATTTGTTGTTGGGGATTTAATTTTTTGAGTTCAAGGTATTTTTTAGATATGAGACCTTTGTCCGTTGTATGGCTAGTGAAGATCTTCTTCCAATCCGTGGGCTTTCTATTGATCTTGCTAGCTATGTCCTTTGCCATGCAGAAGCTCTGCAATTTTATGCAATCCTATTTGTCCAACATTTCTTTGATTTGTTGTGTTTCTGGGTCTCTATTAAGAAAATTTGGGCCTGTGCCAAGGAGACCTAGGGTTTCTCCTATTTGACTCCAAGGTCTTTGATCCATTTGGAGTTGATTCTGGTGCAGGGTGATATATAAGGATCTAGCTTTAGTTTTCTACAAGTAGTTAGCCAATTTTGCCAGCACCATTTACTGAAGAGGCTGTCTTTCTTCCATTCTATTTTTTTAGCTCCCTTATCAAAGATTAGATGGCTATAGGTCTGTAGGTTCATTTCTGGGTTTTCAATTCTATTCCATTGGTCCTGAGGTCTGTTCTTGTGCCAGTACCAAGCTGTTTTGATTACTATGGCTTTGTAGTAGAGTTTGAAATTTGGTATTGATATTCCTCCAGCACTGTTCTTTCTGTTGAGGATTGTTTTAGCTATTCGGGGTCTTTTATTGTTCCATATGAATTTTTGGATTGCCTCTTCTATTTTCTTAAGAATGAGGTTGGAATATTGATAGGTATCCCATTGAATTTGTAGATGGCTTTGGGAAGTGAGGATTCTTGCTTCCTCGCTTTCTTATCCTTCTCTCTAGACCCCACCCCACCCTTACAAAACTAAGGAGCATGAGGGAAGAAGTGTGTATTTACCAAATAAATACTTTCTAGGTCCTGGAATACAGCAGAGAATGGAACAGGTACCCTTAGTCCTCTGGAAATTTCATGTTCATGGCTTCACCCCTTCTCAAGGCCACCTTGGGGACCCCCATGACCTGCTTGCTAAAGTCTACCACCTTAGCTAACTTGGGTAAACCACATTGCTGCCATTATTGTGAGGAAATCCGGAGCTATTCAGTTACAGAAAGTCAGAGGTTAGAGCTTTGGTGGCTTTGGTTATTTGTTCCAGGAGCTCTCCCTGTTTTTGATCCTGCCCTGGAAGGGAATCTTCTTAATGATCTGCTCCTGAGTCTCCCTGGACCCAACACTGGCCTTAGGAAGAAGAAATCCAAAACATGGTTAGATTCCAGTTTTACCTTCATTGACTTTCTGGTCCAAAATACCACTTCCCCCGCTCCCCAGTGTCATCTGTGTTCATATTTCCTCTTTTTACTCTTACTAGTTTGCATTTAGATGTTTGCAGAAAGGATTCTTTAATTCTCTTTTCTTAGAAGTTCTTAACTTTCCCTATATCATGTATTCCTCTCCTCTCCTCCCCCCTGCCCCCGCCTCATCACCACACCTCCCCTTCTTTCTACCTCTTCTCTTTCCCCAGACTTGAGACGTCTCTTATCTTCATGGATGGTCCATATCCTCTTTATCATATCCTTATTGACAGATTCGGGCAGAATATTCATATTGACCTACTCTGAGTGGGCTCTTTTTATTATCCTTATGACTTATTAGAGGAACATAATTAGGGATGCTACTCAGCTGATGGCACTTGAGGATGCACTTGTGGTCTGGTTCATCACGAGCTCTTGCCACCAGTCATCCTGCCGAGGAGGAGGAAGTGGGCAGGGTCCTCTTAACTGCTGATGAAATATTTCAGGGAGATTAGGTTGATCTTAATTGTATAATCAGGGCATATGGGAAGAGTGGGTTCCCAGTATTTTAATCAGAAACATCTTTTGATTATAGAGAAGGGGGGAGGGAGGGATAGGGGGAGGGAAGAAACTAGTGCCCAAGAGGTGGGGTGATCAGAGATAAAAGCCAAGTTTTGCTCCTTGAATTCTATTAAGCTAATCAACCTGTTTTACTTATGTGAAAAGGGCCAGAGATACCCGAATAAAATGATAAAGGGAATGTGAGAAAAGGAAACTTCATTGAAAATAGCATGATCAAACACACTAAAAATGCTTAAAAGAAGGGAGTTTAGGAAGAGAAGTTTAAAGAAAAAAAGAGAGCTAATATAGGCGTGAATTCAATCCCAGAACATTATCTGTATCACACTGAAACTCTTTTATAAATTCATTTGTGCTAATAGAAGAGAAATAGCACAACAGATATCAGAAAGTAAGAATTCTCAACTCTTGTCTGAGCTTTAGGATTTACCACAGAACATTTAGAGATTTTGGAGGAACATTTGTCCATTTTCAGATGTGAAGATTTTCTTTTTTTCAAGAATGCAGTTGTGTTTCTGTTCTTCATTTGGGGACTGGGGGCGGGGGGGGGGGGGAGGCTTTCTGAAGTTTTCTTTTCTTTTTCTTTTTTTTTTTTTACCCCAGATTGTTCTAACCAGACATTTCTTATCATGTTGCTTCTTTTTACATCTTGCACAAAGGTTCTGGGAAGTTTTTGGTTTTCACCTTAAACATTACTCTGCTCTTGGCTCAAAGTATGCATTCAACTAGACTTTTGCAAGCATTAAGATGTACTTTTATTCTGACTTTTCAGTCATCGGATGATGTATTTCCTTTCTGGAAAACAGATGGTGAATTCAACATGGAGCTTTTCTTTTCTTTGGAGAAGCTGCTTGGGTGGGGATGGCATAATAAATATACTACAAAAGGACTGCTCTGTCAAAAGATCTGACATTACCTGAAGACAAAAGGCTCCTAACCACCGTGATGTGTTTTATCATAAAAGAAGCCACATATCTCTCCATGCTGGGTTATTTAATGACTGAGTCAGAAACAGCTTTTCCTTTATGCAAGGAAAATCATCATAATTAAGCTGTCCATTCTGAAAATGGTGGTTTTTCTTATTCTTTTTTTTTATAAAGGTAAAGCACATGTGTTTAAAAAACATTATTTTTTAAAAAGCCCAAGCGACTTATTAACCAACACAGGTGTTAGCATCATAAAAGTCACCCACCTCTTCTCTCCTGAGACTGCCAGGAATGAATTTTTTTCTTTCATTTCATATATAACATTATATATGTCTATGAAATATACAGTGTGTAATGTCAATATTATTTTTAGCATTTTATAGCTATCCAGAGGGTGTAGGGTCTTATATGAGGTTTACCTTCTTTAATGGCAAGTCTTTCTTTTTTTCCAGAAAGTACTTTTCCTTGGGGACCTCAGGTCCTGGCATGTAACATGTGGTTTAGGACTCTTCTCCTAGCACCTTGACTTTGTCTCCTGGTTGTTAATAGTTTTGTAGTACTTGGGATCAAACCCAGAGCCTTGCACAAGGCTGGGCAGGTGCGAAGGCAAGCACTCTACCAACCATTGTATCTCCAACCATTCCTGACTGTCACTTGAGGCTGGTTTCTTATTTTCTTACTTATACAAGAGTAGTCAGCCAACTCACTAATGGATGCTTTCTCTTTTCCTCAATGGATGCTAGGGGGTCACTCCCATCTCTGTAGGTGAACTGCAGATGTGTCAACAAGACACCTTGGCTAAAGTCTTCATTGTCTACCGGTTGCAGAGTTTATTGCTGCATTTCAAGTGTAAATGGTGTTATCTAGAATTCTCTAGAAATTTAAAGAGACAGATATATTTAACTTGACCTCTAAATAATAGTTAAAGCAAGGTCAGGCATAGTAATGTAATCACAGCTACTCAAAAGTAGGCAGAGATTGGGAGGATGGCAGTTCTAAGACAGCCCAGGCAAAAAGTTATCAGGATCCCTTCATAACAGGAAACTGGATGTGGTAGTGCACATCTGATATACCAATAATACAGGTACAGCATGTGTTTCTGTTACCCTTGAAGCCCTCTTGTAGTGTTGCACATTTAGAGATGTTCACTGTAATCTTGTCTTCTTGTTGAGATGTGTGATATTCTGTTACGTGTGAGCTGCAAAATATGTTCTTTATTAAACATGAACCGCCAGAGACATTTGCGCATGATGAAGTATCTAAGATATATGATTTCTCTTCAGTTAATTCCTCTTAGAAACACAGTAAATTAATCTTATTTTCTAAGAGTTTTTCTTCATCATTTTCAATTATTCTCGGCTAATTATATTTCCCATTTCTCTTGAAAAGAGAAAAAAAGAGTAAAAAACTGTCATTGGAGTTGGCATAACTAAATTTATGGTAAAGAAAACACTTGTTTTATCTCTTGAGTTTTCTTGTTCTATATTAAGGTTTACAAAGATATTAAAATTTGGAAGTCACGAACACTCTCAATCACTTATTAATCTCTTTTCTTCTTTGAAGAATACGTTTAGAGGCAGCGACGAGTTCGTGGTGGAAGTGTGGAGAAATTCCCTCTTACCTCGACCACTATATCTCATCCTGACAGACGTTCTTCGAATGCTGATGGTTATACAGAATGCTCAATTGATTCATTCTGACTGTTGGTTTTTAATTTTTTTTTAAACACAGAATTGACTCCAGAGGAGAGAGCCCAGAGGATTGCCAAAGCCATGCGCAAACAATCTTCTGAAGTGAAAGAGAAATGGGAGAGTCTAAATGCTGTCATCAGTAACTGGCAAAAGCAAGTGGACAAGGCATTGGAGAAGCTCAGAGACCTGCAGGGAGCGATGGACGACCTGGACGCAGACATGAAGGAGGCAGAGGCGGTGCGCAATGGCTGGAAGCCTGTGGGAGATTTGCTCATTGACTCGCTGCAGGATCACATTGAAAAGACCATGGTCAGCCCTCTTGCCTTTGACAGTTTCTATTGTATGTGCGTGTGTGCCAGTCCTGGGGCTTGAACTCAGGGCCTGGGTGTAATCACTGAGCTTTTGTGCTCAAGGCTAGCACTCTGCTACTTGAGCTGTTACAGCTCTACGTCTGGTGTTTTGGTGGTTCACTGGAGATGAGAGTCTCACAGAATTTCCTGTCCAGGATGGCTTTGAACCATGCTCCTCAGATCTCACTCTCCTCAGTAGATAAGAATACAGGCATGAGCCACCAGTGCCTAGCTACAATGGCTTTTTTTTTTTTTTAAAGAATGTTTTACTGCTAAATAGAACACCGTAAAGAGCCACACATGTAAATGGCCATCAGGGATTGTTATAAAGCCAACACTGTTACACCTTGTCATGACTCTAGGTCAGTAGACATAATAGAAGTTTTCCAGGTGTCACTCACTGTCACCAATTTGTTCCCCTAAAAAGGGAGCATTTTAAGGTAATCTACTTTTTAAAAATACTTAAAAAAATCCAACTATGTGTCCTAAACAATGTAGATTAGGTGTATCTGATACACACACACACACACACACACACACACACACACACACACACACACACACACACACACACACACACACGTATAATCCACTTTTAGTTTCAGAGAGTAGGGTAGTATATAAAATTGTATATTTGGTAGTCATGAATCATAGCTGAGGAAAAGCCAAGAAAAAATTCAAAGGACTTAGTCTGACTGTATCTGTCATGCATGGAATTTTTAGTGCAAAAGGTATATATCTTTTGTTCACAGACCTTGGATAACAGACCTTTTGTGTGCACAGGACTGAATAGGAGAGGGAAAGGAGATCTGAGAAATTCACTGAATACTTGGGTAAATTCCATAAGTAAATATATGAGTGAGAAGTCAGAAAAGTAATGGGAGCTAGCACAGAGGCTGTGTGCCAAGAACCGTTCTTAGCCAGCTTTATTCTCACACCAACCCAACAAGATAGGTATTATTACTGTGCCTGTATTACAAAGTTTTAAAAAATGAATATAATTGCTCAAGCACACACAGCTAGATGTAAATGGTAGAATATTTGTGATTTTTTTTCTATTCTTTGCAGAGAATTCCTTCATATGAATGAAATGAAACACATCTTTGACCAACTCTTTGAATTAAAGCTCTAAATGTTAAATGCATTTACATTTATTATTTTTTTTTTTTTACTAAGAGTATTGGTGTTTGCTATTTTTCAGTGTAAGTATCTATAGCTTCCCAGCTGCCTTTGAATTACGTAGGCCTCTTTTTACCATTCTAATATACTAAAAAAAAAAATTTCGAGTGGATATGAATTTAAGACAAGAGTCTGGAAACAGCCGTTAGTGTAGCTTCTTTGGAATTTGTAGAGTTGTTCTATCTTTATATTTAAAAAAAATTTTTTTTTATGTCCTAGGGCTTGAACTCAGGGCCTGGAGACTGTCCCTGAGCTTCTTTTGCTCAAGGCTAGCACTCTACCATTTGAGCCACTGACGGCCTTTTCTGTTTATGTGGTACTGAGGAATAAACCCATTGTTTCATGCATGCTAGGCAAGCACTCTACCACTAAGCCACATTCCTAGCCCTTAATGGAGGGGTTTAAACGCTGATGTACACAGTGACATACAAAATATAGTGTGTCCTACTGGACAGCCAACATGCATCTTGGTTGAAGCAGGAATTTACCCATCAGTTTATAATTCATGATAATGAGTATTCAGGAAAAAAAATTGAAAAACTACCTTGGAATTATTAGAGGCACAGAAGTTGAGGAGTTGTTAATCTTATTTAATTAAAGAAATTGCAAATCCTTTTTCAAATCTCTGCTGAAGTGGAAAGCTAGAAATAAATAACAATTAATATTTTAATTGAAAGGAATAAATTATGGATTAGAACATTATAAAGTCCTATTAGGGGGAAAGAAAATAAAAAGACAAATCACATTGAGCCTAACAAGCTCAAAGTCTGGGATATTTTTATATATCCCAGAGATATATCAAAGCAGGTTCCAAATCCTGTTGACGACTTAGGCAGGTAAAACTAAGTACTGATTATTGCTAAATATTATTAAATGTGTCAGAGTAACTGAAAACAAAATCTTTGGGGGTAATCAAATAATTTCAACTCTTAAAATTATCTTTAATTGTTCTCACTTTCAGAACATACACCTTCTGGCGGGAGACACTTGAGATTTACACCTGCCAACAGTCTGCCTGGCACCTTTGATGCCAGCAGATGTTTCTGTTTTTACAGCAAGGAGGGCCACATAGGCTCTTGCTCTCTTATCAAAACATGATAAATTGGTTCTTTCTTCCACAACACATAGCCTCTGAAACCACTTAAAACTCGCTCTCTTCCAATCCCCTTCGATTTGGAAGCTCTTCAAAAATCGAAAGATTAACTTTCTTGATAAAATCCAACTCTGTTGCCATAAAACACCTGACCATAAAAATGAAAAAAACCAAGCCCCAAAGACCTTGTTTGTCAAAGGTCTTTTTCTTTCATGTTCTCACCTGTGGCTTATAATAGGGAAATATTATATATTTTTAACCCCAGAGGAAATGTTTAAACTCCTTTATTGTTCCTTAAGATTTTTTTAAATCCTCTCCTGAAGTTACAACAATCTAATTGGAAAAATCAAATCAAATCAAATAAAATGTGTCCTCTTTTAAAATGGAAGTGGTTAGCACCACAGCTGCTTCCTCCCTCCCTCCCTCCCTCCCTCCTTCCCTCCCTTTCTTCCTTCCTTCCTTCCTTCCTTTCTTCCTTCCTTCCTTTCTTCCTTTCTCTTTCTCTCTTTCTCTTTCTCCCTTTCTCTCTTTCATCTTTCTCTCTTCCTTCCTTCCTTCCTTCCTTCCTTCCTTCCTTCCTTTCTTTCTTTCTTTCTTTCTTTCTTTCTTTCTTTCTTTCTTTCTTTCTTTCTTTCTTTCTTTCTTTCTTTCTTTCTTTCTTTCTTTCCCTTCCTTCCTTCTTTCTTTCCCTTCCTTCTTTCCTTCCTTCCTTCCTTCTTTCTTTCTTTCTTCCTTTTTTCTTTCTCTCTCTTCTTCCCTCCTTCCTTCCTTCCTTCCTTCCTTCCTTCCTTCCTTCCTTCCTTCCTTCCTTCCTTCCTTCCTTCCTTCCTTCTCTGCATTATCTCCTGTGCACTTCATGTAGCTCATGTGTGCACACTTTAGACTCAAGAATTGGAGCCTGAAATCCTGAACTACTGCATTAGTACATAAGGTACTGATGGTGGTAGTCAAGATGATGATGGCTAGTGATCGATAACAGCTACATTTTCTAGAATTTTCATCTGATTCAGAACATGAAGGAGGCGCACAATCATTTAAATGGCATTTCATTGTTATTTTTCTCTTTGCGTGTATAATTCAAACCTCTGGGTTTTGAGGGTGACTAGCTGGTTGTTCAGGAGGGCTCTGGAGAAGCCAGCTGTTGTTGAATGGGCAGCTCTACCTTCTGGCCCTTGAGCTGGCCTTGCATTGACCTTGGCAAAAAGGTAGACATACTAGCTTCTATTTTATTGCATTTTTTTCTAGTGACACTTTTTTTTTGGGGGGGGGTCTGTTTCTTCCAGGCATTTAGAGAAGAAATCGCACCAATCAACTTAAAAGTGAAAACAATGAATGATTTGTCTAGCCAGCTGTCTCCCCTTGACCTGCATCCCTCTCTAAAGATGTCTCGTCAGCTGGATGACCTTAATATTCGATGGAAACTTCTACAGGTATCAGCTTGGCTCCTTCCTAACAGGCTTGTCCCTCCAGAGCTCTGGGAAGCCCATCTCCAGAGACGTTCATTTCTGTCTGTTTAACCAGTCATATTTGGTAAAGACCTTTGCAAACAATGACGTCAGGGGCTCATATATTTATGAATATCAGCTCCAGTGTAATTTTGTATGGAAATTTCACAAACTAAAATAAGTCACAGTAGCAGGTCACTGAAACATTTTCCAATAGTGGCTTCATAAAGCTGGCATTTTTCTTTATTGTATATTTTTCCTTGCGGAAGCATAAGAAAACTTCCATCTTGTTTTCTTCTGATTATTGGTTGCTATATTCATGTTTAGGTGTCCTGTTTGGGTTTTTCCAGATAGCAAATTTATACTTTAGCTCCTAGATCTGAATGGCTCTAAGTCAGTTGTCTTCATAGCTCTAGACCTTATTCAGTTATTCCAGATTGAATAGAACCACCCCATGGGCAGTTCTCTTGAGATTCTTAGGTATGACAATTTGAAGGCCACTACCAATGCCAATCAAGAGTTTATGGCTGAGAGCAGGATGTGTGACTAACATCTCAGCACTCAGGAGTGTAAGCCAGATGGATCACAACTTTGAAGATCATAGGATCACAAGTTTGAAGTCAGCATAGTGTGCGTAGTGAGACCTCTCTCAAAAAAGCTAACCACTATCAACATCAAAAAGCATTCATGGTAGTGGAGCTCTGCCATATTCAGTAGCTACATCCAAGAACTCATAGTAAGCATACTTTTCCTCTGAGAATTAGTAAGGAGATTTTAGTAGAAGATTGAAAAAATTAATATTTTTGGTTCTTACTTCTATAGTAGATTGAAAAGGTAACATGAGTGTGTGATATGGTATTTGGCAGTCTTCCTTATCCTGGAAAAGAAGTGTTCTTGATCTAGGATGAGTTAAGCAAATCACTTTTTTTTGGGGGGGGGGGGGGTCCGGTCATGGGGCCTGAACTCTGGGCCTGGGCGCTGTCCCTCAGCTCTTCAGCTCAAGGCTAGCTCTCTACCACTTGAGCCACAGCACCGCTTCCAGCTTTTTTCTTTTTGCTTATGTGGTGCTGAGGAATCGAACCCAGGGCCTCATGCATGCAAGGTAAGCTCTCTACCACTGAGCCACCTTCCCAGCCCAAGTACATCTCTTAAATGTATATGTGCTCACAGAAATGTTTCATCTTTTTTTTTTAACGTTGCATCGTTTTTCTAATTCGTTGTCTTTCCATCATCTTCATGTAAGGATTCCAGCGGTCCATCCTCATCCACTTGCCTTCTCTTTTTGTTATCACCGTCTCCAAAGACTAAAAGTCAGGGAGTAAGTTACATTCAAAAGAGAACATTAGGTCTGTCTGTCTGTCATCTTACCTATCATTCTGGTGATTGCTGGAGCTCAGATAGCAGGTTAGATGAGAAGTGGGGAACTTGGTTAAATTTCAGGAATAGCACCTTCTTTACTCATAAAGCATGGCATTTGAATTTTTCTTTGTCTTAATGAATAAAGTGCATTCCCATGCAATTTTAGCAGCTAGCTAGGAGAAACCACAGCTGCCCAGATCTTGTCTGTCTGTCTCTCTCTCTTTCATTTATCTTCTTCATCATCACCTGCCTTCCATGTATCATTTAAAATTTTTTTTCCTTAGAGCATCCTAGGCTTCTTTCACCTGCTTGGGTAGCACATTTTACCATTTCCCTTACCAGAGAGATGAGTAGCTGCTGATCTCATGAGCATAGGCTGACTTAAGCTGCTGCTTAAGTCAGGAAGGGTAGTTGTAACCATTAGGGGGTAAATTCTATCTCTAGATGACCAGATAGGAAGCATAGTGCTGTCACTCACTAGTTCTGTGTCCTTGGCTACCTTCTTACGTCTCCATTTCTTTATTGATAAAATAGCAACAGGAATGATATTTAGCCAGCATGGCTACAGTGACAATTAAGAGTTTATTTTTATGAGCTGTTTAGAAGAATGTCTGTATCTCCATACATTACTTGGTGCTATAAGTTGAAAACCAACATATGACATGGATACCAGGGGAGAGAAGTCTAGACAAGCAGCAGTATCTTAGGGCCATACCCTCATTTGTTGTCAGACTTTGAATCAAGGGTATTATTAAAGTCATTGTGTTGAAATCAAGTCATTGAATGTGTGTGCAGGTTTCCGTGGATGATCGTCTTAAGCAGCTTCAGGAGGCCTATCAAGATTTCGGACCAGCTTCTCAGCATTTTCTCTCCAGTGAGTAGGGTAAACGACGGAACTTATTGACTGATAACATAGCCTTTCACTTTTACCCAAGGGGACATTGTCTTTACCTTTCTTAATATAGTCACCTATAGTAGATAGGACGCATTAACAATAATAATAGTATTGGTTATTATTTGTTAATTACAGTTTTTCAATCGCCAGCTTGTTTCGATAGCTAATATGACATTCCACCCGAGTTTGGTTGTATAAAGATTTTGATCTTTTCCGTAGGCACTTTATATTTTAATATATATTTTTAAAGGCATTTATATTTTAATAGTTTAATTTTTCTTCGAAGAATGTGCTTTTGTGTTAAAGATGTACCTGCAGCTTTTAAGGCTAGAAAAAGAATAGAGAGCTTTCCACAAATGTTTCCATGAGGAAATTTGAGTGTATGAATATAATCGCCATCATATTTGCTTTTCCTTCTAGACTAGCATTGCGGATTGAGGTTTGCACAAACGTAGGTTTTTTTTTTTTTTAATGCACTATTCTCCAGTTGGAACTTTTAATTTTGTGTACACTGTATGACCTCTTGAATAATTTAAGGTCCTATTTTATTTATTATTCACTGCTGAGGATACTAAAGAAAGTAGGATTTAAGAGTCTCTCAGATTGAGTTTAAATATTCATTCTGCCTTTTACCAGGCCTGTGAATTTCTGAAAGTTAATTTCTTGGTCTTAAACATACCTTAATACCTATTTCCTCAGATGGCCTTGGGAACTTGGTGGAAAAATTTGTCAAGTTACACAAAGCACCCAGCCTGGATCTTGGCACACATACTTCCAGCAAATATTTTTTCTTTTTCTTTCATTTCCTTTGGCAAATATATGTAAGACAGCAATTTGCTTAATCTAATTCAATTTGAGTAAAGTTTAAAATTTAGGACAAAGTGTACTTCTCAGTTATAACTTCTTTGTAACTGTAATCATAGGGAAAGCGTAGTATTTTATCTTACAGCTAAGTTCTTGATTACATTCTTGGTTTTCTCTTAATCTTTTTGTCACTGTTGATGAACTGCTTTACCTGAATGAAAGATCAAGGTCCCCCTCCCCCCACTCATGTTTCCAAGAATTCTAATAAGAGAATTTTAATCAATCATCCTTCATGCTGCTCCACGCTACACTCTAACATACACCCATCGTTAGTTTTTCAAACTTGAACCCTTAGGCAATCCATCTTTGAACGATGAAGAATCCTTTCTGGAATACCATTTACTGGGCAAAATTTTTGTTGTTTTATTTTTTTAATTTGTAAGTACTAGGGTTTGAATGCAGGACCATGAGCTTGCTAGAAAGGAGCTTTGCCACTTGAGCCATGCTACTAGATCTTCTTGCTTTAATTGTCTTTTGAATAGGGTCTCATACTTTTTTTTTTTTGGTCCAGTTGTGAGGCCTGGACACTGTCCCTCAGCTCTTCAGCTCAAGGCTAGCACTTGAGCCACAGCGCCATTTCTGGCTTTTTTTTTTTCTTTTTGCTTATATGGTGCTGAAGAATCGAACCCAGGGCCTCAGGCATGCAAGGCAAGCGCTCTACCACTGAGCCAACTTCCCAGCCCCATTGAATAGGGTCTCATACTTTTGTCCATGGCTGGTCTTAGACTGTGATCCTACTACTTAGGCCTCCAACATGAGTGGAATTATAGACTTGGACCGACCAAGTTCAGCTTATAGAATAAGATGGGGTTCTCACAAACTATTTTTACCTGAGCTGGCCTTGAACTGGTATCTTCCTGATTGCCTTCCAAGTAGCTGGGATTACACACATGTGCTCCCACTGGTTACCCCAGGGAGTATGTTTTCGTGTTGATACCATTATTGTTGAAATAAATAGGACTTTAGTGTTCTTATTACACTTTGAGTCCTCCCATTTCTTACACTTAATTTTATAGAATGTGAAACTAGACAGTAAGACCAAATTAAAGAACTTTCAAAATAATTGAGACTCTCTTTACAGTTCTAATGTTCACTTATCTATTAATATGGGTGAAACGCTGCATTTTCCCCTAACAGCCACTCTCGCATTATAGAAATCAGTTCTTATTCTTCAAGAAATGGAGTATTGTAAAATTAATGAACATTTGGTGAAACTCAAGCACATGGTCTTTTATATGGTCCAAGAAAGTTGAGGTTATTCAGATCAAAATAATGATCAACATGAATGGGGAATTGTAAATGAAATCCCAATTAGTAAATGTAATAATTGTTATTCTTTGCTGCTTAGAAATTTTGGCTTTATTTTATTTCTTGGACTCTAGCCATGGTTATAAAAGAAGTCTGTTTAGTTAGGCACAAAAGAAGAATTGACCCATTAGCCTAGTGCCAACAATGAAATGAGGTGGTCTCTAATGAGAAATATAATTTACTTCGTGCCTCATTTGGGGAAGGATTGAACTTAGAGTCTCAGAGTTGCTAGATAATCTCTCCTACTTGAATCATGTCTCTCTTCCTTTTGCTTTTTTTGTGGTGGTGGGGGTGCTTGAATTCATGGCTGGACACTGTCCATGAGTATTTTTGCTCGTAATCTACCACTTTGAGCCACAGAGCCATTTCCAGCTTTTTTATGGTAATTAATTGGAGATAAAGAATCTCATGAACTTTTCTGCTACTTGGGTAGACTTTGAACCACAATCCTCAGATCTCAGCCTCCTAAGTAGCTAGGATTATAGAAGTGAGCCACCACTTTGGAGTTGAAAACTGACTGAACTACTATTCTGAAGATTCAGCCATTAATCCTATCTGAGCTCTGTATTTATTTACTAACAATCACTTTTTACAATCTTATTTTAGTTCTATGCATTTAATTTCTTCTCTATCAAATGGAACTTGAATGTGTGTTATGTTGTCAGCTTTTAAAGCCAAAGATATATTTGGCAGTGGTTAACAAAGTTTACAAAGCCACACATTTGTATGATATCAAAATAACATGAAATTCAGAAAAAAAGAATTATTGATGACAGCTGACTATGGAAAGGTCTAGTAATATTTGGTCTAATAATAATATTTTACACCTTTTTACTTAGGTCAGTTAGCAGAATTCCTCTAGTCACATGTGGTACCCTTAAATAAGTCTTAAAATAAGTGACTTACTGTAGGAATGGTATGCTTTTTATTAATAAGTAATTGGTATTGTGAAAATTAAATACCTCAATAAAAAATATAAAATCTCAACCATGGTAATTTCTACTGCCAACATAAGACTATTCTCGGTGGATTTCAAAAGATACTTCTGCATAGCTGATGGGCCCTACTCTGTACAATCTCTTATCTGTGCCATTTTATTTTTTTCTGTTTTCATGAAATTTAATTTAATTAGTACTCTCTGTGTTCAGTAGCTACTCCTGTGAATATGACATACTATAAAAATATTACTAGTGATCTGCAAATTCAGTCTTGAGAAATGTAGTTTTTAATCTGGATTTTAGAATCTGTAGGGTTCTGTTTCCAGATGGCACTAAGTCTCCTGTTGTGTTGATGATAAATCAAAACCAAACCAAAACAAAACCCTGTTCTTTATAAAGTATTTATATCAAAAGGTTCGGTTAGCATTTGGCATTAGAAATAGAATCTGGGTTGTTTCTTTCCTTACTTCAAATGAATCTTTAAAGCCATTCTAGTTGGCCCTGGTATGTGTCATCATCAAGAGGAGTCTACATCCAAGGCCAGAGTGGCCTGGCTGGATTTGCTGTAAAGGTGCTCAGTTGTTTTACGTGAAGGTGGAAGGCTTCTGGGTTACCAGCATTTCTAATCATCTGCTTCTGTCTCCTCAGCCTCAGTGCAGCTGCCATGGCAAAGATCCATTTCACATAACAAAGTGCCCTATTACATCAAGTAAGTTGATTTTTAATTCTCTCTTCTGATACCAACAAGAAGAACTTCTATTCATAACTTATAAGCCCCTCATAGCTTTTAAAAGTGGAATTCAGCCGGGCGCCAGTGGCTCACACCTGTAATCCCAGCTACTCAGGAAGCTGAGATCTGAGGATCACAGTTCGAAGCCACCTGAGGCAGAAATGTCCCCGTGAAACTCTTATCTCGAATTAACCACTCAGAAACCAAAAGTGGAGCTGTAGCTCAACTGGTAGAGCACTAGCCTTGAGTACAAAGAGGCTCAAGGACAGTGCCCAGGTCCTGAGTTCAAGCATCATAACTGACAAAAAAAAAAGTGGCCGGGCTGGGAAGGTGGCTCAGTGGTAGAGCGCTTGCCTTGCATGCCTGAGGCCCTGGGTTCGATTCCTCAGCACCACATAAGCAAAAAGATAAAAGCCAGAAGTGGCACTGTGGCTCAAGTGGTAGAGCGCTAGCCTTGAGCTGAAGAGCTGAGGGACAGCGCCCAGGCCCAATGTTCAGGCCCCACAACCGGACCCCCCCCCCAAAAAAAAGGGGAATTCATTCCTCTTATATGAAGGAAAAACGATGTATGTAGTTGGAATGATAATTGCCATTGATGAATTTTTCTTTGTTTTTGGGAGATTGTATCTACATAATTAATTCACAGTCATTATCAGTTTTGTGGTCTACTTAGCTTCTCCCTTCTGCATAGTTTTTCTTCTTCATATGTAACACTTTATAAATTATGTGTCATTTTACATGGCATCTTATTAGTGTTTTATTCTTGGCTTAATCTTTGTATTGTCATAGGACAGAATGATACAATACTACTTCTCCAAGTTCTTGAAGTGTTACTTAGTCCATCTCTTGATTTACCACTTAATAAGAGTCATGGTTGACCATGTTTCATGTATAAGGAGAGATGTCATAATTATGAGAGTGTACACCTATTGTCAGGAGACAGCTTTGTCTTAGATAAGCTGTGTCACTGCAGGCAAATTGAGTTAATATCCCTATGCTTCCCTCCCTAAGTATTTCTTTACCTCCCTCTCTCACTCATTCCCTCTTTCTTTTCTAGTACTGGTGTTTGAACTTGGGGCTTCATGCAATGCAGGTGCTCTACAACTTGAGCTAGTTGTTTCTGAATTAGAATTTTTCTCTATGCTTGCCCCAGCCTGGAATGTTACTCTTTTCATGCTTTCTTTTGTCATTGGGTAACAGGCATTTAACACTAGGCTCAATCATTGTGCTTCCACATAGATAGTCATTGGTTGAGATGGAATCTCATGAACTTCAGTGCCCTGGTTGGCTTTGAACGATGATCCTTTGATCTTCACCTCCCAAATGCTATGGTTATAGGCTTGAGCCACCATATCTAGCTAGTCTTTTCTTATGAATCTGTTCTTAAACTCTTAAAAAAACGGTTGCCAAAATATTTACCAAATATAATAAGCAGGATGTCTTTCATATATTACAGTTTTATATTTTATTATGTACAATATTCAGTATATTGGGTTGAGAGGAATTTGAGAGCGAATTATCAGACCAGTTGATTGGTATCCAATTTGTGAAAGCACAAATGGAAAGGAGTCAGAGGCTGGGGAAATTGGTATCTTATTCAAATCTAACACCTTTAAATTTTTTTTACAGTTTTACTCCAAGTAATAACAACAATAATAATGATAGTATTAAAGAAATTTAATTTGCTTGTGCAAATATTGACTTAAACTGAATACTAGTTTAGATATATATCTGATGTAGGATAATATCTCTCTCCCCAGTGATGCCTACATCTAATCCTTAGAACCTGTGAATATATTAGTTTGCATAACAAGGGAAAATCAAATTTGCAAACCACTGAACCTTAAAGTATGAAGATTATTCTGAGAGATCCAGTGTAACTACAGGGGGCAAGAGTGGGGGCAGGAGAAAGGAACAGATGCGGTGAGGGATTTAAAGATGCTACGACACTGTCTTTGAAGATGGAGGGAAAGAATCACAGTGCTGAGAAAGCAGAGGTATAAAAGGCCAGGAGATGGGATTCCTGTAGCCCATCCGAGGGCTACAAACTTGATTTCAGCCCGGCGAGACTTTTATGCAGAAGCAGTAGGATATGCACCTGTGGACTGTACAAATTCTAGAAGTCCATGCAGATTAGCTGGAGATAATTAGTTGACTGAATTGACCTGTTGTCCTGTATAAGCTGATATTTTTAAATGGGTAGACTAGATCTAGTAATGATTTTTGGCTTTACTACATGAAAATGTTAAATCTCTTGCTCAGTTATGTTTCAGTGATGGTTTTTATTTAATTTGGGAGTTTTAAAAGCCTGTTTTTAATGCCAACTCTAAAAGGATTTTCATTAATTCTGCATCAATTATATATGCATATATGTATATGCATATATATATATATGTGAATAGCTGGGAATTAGATAATCTAAGTCAGAATAGCTCTAGTTTATAATGCTTATCATTGTGGCAGACCCTGATTGGGTTGTAGTCTTGCTTAATGTACAAGTTCTTTTGAGGCTGATTGGTTGTTCATGTGACATCTCATTGACTAAACCTAACCAGCATTTGAGGAAAAAAATATATGGATGATATAATAATTAGTAGTTTCATTGATGACATTTAGGGCAGAAACATCCTAAACTATGCTCTGTATCCTTAGTAAAATATTACATTTTTCCTAAATATATATAGTTTTGCTGTTAAGTGTCTTAAAACACATTTACTAGAACATTTTTTCCTGTTTTTATAAAACTTTCTTAACCAAGACGTTTACTATTTGCTCTGTTGTACAACTTTTATATGCAATTTCCTCATTTAAAAAAAAAAAATGGAACATACAACTTGAGAAGTAGAGATTCAAAAGCCAGCATTTCCTATGAAGAACAGTTATGAAAACAAAAGCTAATTCCCAGCCAAACTAATGAGCTACTCAATAATAAATGAAAATGCTTTTAATACACACTTTTTTTGCATGGCTGCACAAATGAATAAAAGAGAAATGTCATGTATTTGGCATTTCTTGGGGGTAAACTAAAATGTACTAATCAAGTAGAAAGAGTAGATGTTCCCAAATTTTCAATGTTAAAGTACATATTAGTTATATATATAGAGAGAGTGTATTTTATATATAAGTAGACACTATATTTATACATATACTATATTTATACATATATTTATACATATACTATATTTATACATATATACATATATTTATACATATACTATATTTATACATACATTTATATAATGTATATATCAAGAAAACTGGAAAGAACAAGGACAAATTTTCTTTCCCATTACAGTTTTATAGATTTCGTTTAAATAGACTTTGATGCTTCCTCATGTATTTCTAAGTAATCATGCATGCTAAGTAATTCTTTGCTTTCTTTATATTATCTTTAAGTGGTTGTATGAAGGAGTTTCCATTTAGCAAAGCAGTCTATGAATACAATGCATCTTTATCAACGTCTCCCCTTTCTACATTCTCACCCAGCCTTCCCTGACCAACCCCCCAATGTACGCTATACATTGGATTTTTTTTTTACTACATTCTTCCCATCTTCTTTTCTAAATATCTTAAAGTATACTATGGTAAATTGTTTCTAAAGAATAATAGAATATCAGTCTGAATTGTAATAGTACATATGGCAGGTATCTCTCTTATTTCTTTTATTTCTGTCGGTTGTGGGGCTTGAACGCTGGGCTTGGGCGCTGTCCCTCAGCTCTTCAGCTCAAGGCCAGCACTCTACCGCTTGAGCTACAGCATCACTTGTGGTTTTCTAGTTGTTTATTGGAGATAAGAGTCTCACGGACTTTCCTACCTGGACTGGCTTTGAACAGCGATCCTCAGATCTCAGCCTCCTGAGTAGTTGGATTACAGGCCTGAGCCACCGGCACCTAGCTCTCTTATTTCTTACTGTCTGTGTTAATCAGATTTCTGTCACAATAACAAATACTGAGCAGTATTGATTTGGGCTCACCAAGTGTAGAGGTTCCAATCCCTGAGTGGTTGGTTGGTTGCTTTGGGGTCTGTGGCTAGGTTCAGCAATCCTGGTGGGAGCATGAAAAGGCAGAACCTTTCATTGCGTAGTCGGGAAGCAATAGAGAAGAGAAAGGATTCTGGGCTCACAGTCTCCTTGAATACCATGCTCCACATACCCATCTTCCATTGGGATGGATATCTTAAAGGTTCCAAGCTTCCCAACAGCACCAGCATTGCCACCTGTGCCAACACACAGGTATTTAGGGAATGGTAGGCAGTCAGACTACAGCAACACCTTAAGTTGAAACTTACCTTTATGTTGTGTTTACTGGCTGTAAGGAAGACTTTCTAAACGTGATCTACTTGGTTTCTTCTACCATTGTCCAATGGCAGCTCATTATGCTCTGAGTTTAGAAGTTCGCTTCTGCTGTCTTTGTTATGTATAAAAATCTACCACGGAAGCTTGGCCTCATCTGTTGTAAAAGTTTGCTCACACGTTTGTGTTTTGTATAGATTGTTCCTTTCCTCAGCTGATAGTGACTCTCTTCAGGCAGTTTGGGTGGTAAAAGGAATGACTGGTAAAAGTTTAGTGTTGAGCTTTTCCTCATATGCCACATTAATCGTGTAAAACACATTGATTTTTATTTTTCCCCTGAACTTTGTCTAATATGCCACATTAATCATGTAAAACACATTGCTTTTCATTTTTCTCCAGAAAATAATATAGCAGTAAATACATAGTGGTAATGGTGAATGATGATGGTCACTGAAATAAATTACATTTTTAAGCACTCACTTCCCAGGCACTGTGCAATTTCTTATACATAGCCCAGTGAAGAATAGAAATAAGCATTACCTTTGTTGACAGTAACTAACAAATGCATCAATAAATAATCATAATGTACACAGAGAGCCAACTTGAGATGACACCGCCAGTAATTGGAAAATCCAGAGTTTGAACCCAGGGATTTAGCTTTCCAGGAACTCTTTCCAACTATGCGGAC